GAAATTCTTTACAAATGAAAGACCGAATTTATATATGATTCGCGGTAATTCCTGTTCGTATCCTTATATGTGTAATAAGCCGTTGATTAATAAGTAATCCATTGTACTGTTCGACTATTACGGAATAAAACATTCTACTAAAGAATGCTCTTGAACTCATCGATTATTAAAATATCGCACAAACCTAAAATTAGCACATTCATATCTCTGTGCAGCATATTGCAGTCTGTACTATCGTTCCGTACGGCGTTTTTTTTTTCTTTTTTGTTGAATTCATATTCTACAATCAAACTAAAACTTCCAATCGTGTGCTGACAAACTGGATCGTGAAAAAAAAAAAGAATAAAAATGAAAAAAAGATTTAAGATTGTAATTTTTTCCTTAATCTATAATTGTATTATATTACAAAAAAAAACATATTATAAAAGAAATTGGTGTATCTAAACAAGCTCCGAATTCGGAAACGAAAAAGGTAATACGTATACATATACACTCTAAAGGATGAAAAAGGCTTTTTCAAGGGTTTAATAAGGGATCTTAATTACAAAAGGAAGTAAAAAAAAAAGCCTCTAATATGTCCTCAATATTTTTTTTTTCTTTTTTTTTTGTGATGAGGAAGGTTTGGGGAGAATTTTACAAAAGAATTACATAAGAGTCATATTAATATGCACGAAATAATATAATAAATAAGAGGGTTTGAAATTCCTTAATATACTTCTATTAAAGTTTATATAAACAGTTAGTAAAAAAAATTTTTTTTCTTAAATTTAGTACATAAAGTATTATTTTAGAGCATAGTTGAAACGTGAAACGAACGCATTAGGCACTATCTATGTTAAAAAAAAAAAAAAAAACAATATTGTACAAACGGAAACGAAATTTTAAACGCATAAATTTTCTAACAAATGTTCATGATATTAAGAATAATCCGATACGAGCATCAATTACGTTGTTGACCACCGCCCCGGCCATAGCCTTCACCATGACGTGTTAGATTCATTCCACTACTTTCATGATGATATTCATGGGGTGGTTGTCCGCTAATTGGTTGATTGTAAGTATGTCCACCAACATGTGGGTTACCCTGCACATAATTTTGTTGTGAATGCGGGTACCAATCAACAGGTCTTAAAATTGGGGACTCGCTTTCATACTTAATCTGTACAGGATGGTGATCAGGTTGACGTTGTTGCACATGGTCCAAATGTTGCGTCTGGAGATTGTGCTGATGAGATTCGGAAGAATGTTGTTGCATGTGTTGATTATAGTAATGATGCTGTTGATATACTTGTTCTGTTGTTATTGGTCTAGCTGAAGGACCGGGCGTTA